AAACTATGACATTTATGAATGTATGAATCATTTGGTGAAAAACTGACTGAAAAATAAATCTGTTCTTTTTTTCTTATAAAAGTCTAAATAAAACAAAAATATTGGTGGTAATTTTTGACTGTGTACCTTTACAAACTGCACCCCATACGAAACAGCTTCACAACACATAATAAACCGTTATAAAGTCATTAGGAAAGATATTTTCTGTACGAGTTGCCTGTGATTCAGCCGTAGACCAGTAGTGGGCGCACCAGGCACTGAAGATCCCTGTATAAAAAGACCAGAACTTCCAGTTTCCAGCTTGTCTCCAGCCGGGAGCAATAAAAGTTTCGCTCGTAACCAGATCTGGGTTGTACGGTTTTAATTCTCTTCACATTTTAATCTATTCAATATTTATGTGGTTTCGTCTCGATTTCAGTTAACGAACTCTAAATTTTCTTGCATATCTTTATACATTCTTAGTATTTCCTAAACAATTTGTAAATTCTTCTGTTACTATTATCATTTTTATTCATTATAAACCTCAAACCTTAAACTATTCCGCTTGAAACATACAGTTTCTTTAAGATTAGTTTAAGTGATAACAAATGATAGAACATATCGATGTTCTTGTACATTTTAATCTTACAAGCAATAATTAGAGACAGGAACATTGAAAATGAAAAATTTAGTCAATAGGACACGAAACAACTATTTGAAATGTCTTTCTTTTAACAAACTAAAGAAAATCTTAAAATTTTTGTACTTTAAAGTGTCTGTGACATGAAATTATTGTAAATAATATGAATGCATTTTAGAACGAAAACCACAGCGTTGCAAAAATAATAATAAATCATACCGCTGAGATGAACAGTAATTCAGATATTTGCATGTGAACAGAGTTTAAATAATGTTTCACTGAACAATGAGAAGAGAGTTCATTTTATTAAAAAGGTCCCGTTTGACGTCACTTCCTGTTTCAATACAGCTGAGTCAAATTCAAGAGAAAATCTGCCAGTTATGTGACAAAACGGGTAAAATCAGGTGTATGATGTCAGTTTTTTTGAATGAAAAGATGCATCTTTGATTCTGTGTACTTGAAGGAATTTCACATCATTAGCTGTGTTTCCACTGCAAATGTGCGCAAAACTGTTGATATTCTGTTAATGTCGAAAAACACAGTTTCACAACTGCAGTGTTTCCATTAAGTAATAAATAAAGTCAAGAGTGAATACATTTGTTCTCATGMTAAGTCATTACAAACATGGCAGCGATGGATGTAAACACATAGCATGTTGCTACCACGACACTAGCGCTCATCATCAGAGGAGACGTCGGCGTCTTTTATCGAGGCTTTCCAGAGACAAGTCCCTACTTGGGAGCGGCTACGTATGCTGTGTTTTTGGGAAATTGTAGTCGGAGAGTTTAATACATTTTATACTACTTCTGTGATATTACTACTACTTCTACTTCCTGTTATCTTCTTCATCATCATCGTCTTTTTCACCAGTAGAAACAGACGGTTGTTGATCACGTGACTCCTGTGATGTGAAAAAAGTGTTTCCATTGCAGTTTTGTGAAAAACACCAATTTCGAGATGACCGAAAAACCACCTCATCCTAGCGCAAAAACATTTTGTTGAAAAACGTAATTTTTTTCGAAATTGACGTGTTTCCATTGAGAAAATTTATTTTCGAAACTCTAATTTGTGCATTTTCATGGTGAATGGAAACGCAGCTACAGACACTTTAAAGAACTCAAACTGGACTAAAACCCATTTTTAATTTGATTAAATCCTCTGAACTCTGACGACAAGAAAACCTGAAGGACTTTGTGAATCACAGATGACGTAGAAGATGGGAGTAGTTTGAATACTTTACAGTAGTTTAGTTACGGTGAGTGAAAAGTAGAAAACAAAGTAAAAATACCTCTGAATGAACGAGACACTTACTTTTCCAGGATGATCGTTGAACTCTGATGAAGAGAAAAAACATTTGTTTCAGTTATTTTTGTAACTTCTATCGAACGTATCTTATGCTGATTAACTGTGGCGGCCATCTTGAATCGTTCTGAATCCCTGAGTGAATCAGGTGTTGTAAACCAGGATGTTGTGTTTCTCACCTGGATGAACGAAGCCTGGCGTGTCTCCTCCATGGACCGGATCGCCAGCTCCACCAGCGTGGCGGAGGCCTCCAGCCGAGTGTTCAGCTGACACACCAGGCCCTGGATGTGTCTCATTTTGTCGTCCTGCTGCCTGGAGATGAACCCGACCAGCTCCTGCTTCCTCTCCTCCAACAACATCACCAGGCGGTCCATTTGCTCGGCTATGTGTTCTCTCTGACTGCGCCCGTTTTCCTGAAGGACAAAAGCAAACCTGTGTCTCCAGGAAGTAACTGAGCCCACTGCTGCAGCCCAGATTGTGGCACAATTTGCCTCCGTTTGTGTGAAATCTGAGATGTTTTCTTGTTTACAAAGATTAAATTAGAACTTTTTATTCCATCTAGTGATTGTTGCAGTGAGACCTCGATGCTGAGGCAGATTTCCTCCATCTGAGAGATCATCTCCTGGATGTGGTCGTTACTGGCAACCAGGACTGCAATCCCATCACTCAGCTCCGTCTGCAAACGTTCCAATAAAAACACAAAATTCAACACATACACAGTGTGTGAAACAATAATACTGTAGTAAATATAACCTTTTGATTATTTTCATAAAGATAAAAGAACCAGATGGATGGATGGAGGATGGATGGATGGATGGAAAGAAGATGGATGGACGGATGGATGGATGGATGGAAAGAAGATGGATGGATGGATGGATGGATGGATGGATGGATGGATGGATGGATGGATGGAAAGAAAATGGATGGATGGATGGATGGATGGGTGGGTGGATGGATGGATGGATGGATGGAAAGAAGATTGATGGTTGGATGGATGGATGGATGGAAGATGGATGATGGATGGAAAGAAGATGGATGGATGGAGGAGTGGATGATATGGATGGATGATGAATGGATGGAAGATGGATGGATGATGGATGGATGGATGGATGGATGGATGGATGGAT